AAAACAAAAAGGTAGAAATCTACAACAAAGTTTGCTAAAATCCCTGCAATGTACATCGATCACCCAGAGGGGGAGGGGTTTTTTTTCTCCTAACAAAAGTGGAGTTACACTTTAAGAACAAGTTTGCACTTAAAAAAAAACTGAAAAAAAAAAGGCGTTGGCAGTCATTTTTCGGATTGGTTTAATTATTAAATATAAATATCTTTTATAGCTTTACATATATAAAAACGAGCAGAATTGCACCTTCTCATACATACATGTGTAACATCATGGGATCCATGTGACGATATGCAACAACATGTAAATCAATTTGTACAAGAAAAAGAAAAAAAAAAAAACGTTTAAGGCAGGAGAACAGAACGGACCGGAAGCGTCATGAAGATTTTAATCCTCCAGATAAGTGCAGAAAAAAAAGGAAATGTCATTTCTCACAAACGCGAGATTTTTAAAATGTAACATTTTTAATGAAGAAGACATGAATGTATTTGTTCTTCATGACCGGTTGTGTCAACTGATGTCCCCCAGCAGGGGGCATTGTTGTCACTGTCCAGCGTTTTGTTTATTCTAGTGTACATACCATCCATGAGTGGGAGGGGCCATGACACCATCCATGAGTGGGAGGGGCCGAGACACCATCCATGAGTGGGAGGGGCCGTGACACCATCCATGAGTGGGAAGGGCCGTGACACCATCCATGAGTGGGAGGGTCCGTGACACCATCCATGAGTGGGATGGGCTGTCACACCATCCATGAGTGGGAGGGGCCGTCACACACCATCCATGAGTGGGAGGGCCCGTCACACCATCCATGAGTGGGAGGGCCCGTCACACCATCCATGAGTGGGAGGGCCCGTCACACCATCCATGAGTGGGAGGGCCCGTCACACCATCCATGAGTGGGAGGGCCCGTCACACCATCCATGAGTGGGAAGGGCCGTGACACCATCCATGAGTGGGAGGGCCCGTCACACCATCCATGAGTGGGAGGGCCCGTCACACCATCCATGAGTGGGAGGGGCCGTCACACCATCCATGAGTGGGAGGGGCCGTCACACCATCCATGAATGAAGGGGCCGTCACACCATCCATGAATGAAGGGGCCGTCACACCATCCATGAGTGGGAGGGCCCGTCACACCATCCATGAGTGGGAGGGCCCGTCACACCATCCATGAGTGGGAGGGCCCGTCACACCATCCATGAGTGGGAGGGCCCGTCACACCATCCATGAGTGGGAGGGGCCGTCACACCATCCATGAATGAAAGGGCCGTCACACCATCCATGAATGAAGGGGCCGTCACACCATCCATGAGTGGGAGGGGCCGTCACACCATCCATGAATGAAGGGGCCGTCACACCATCCATGAATGAAGGGGGGCCGTCACACCATCCATGAGTGGGAGGGCCGTGACACCATCCAGAATTTTTTTTTTTTCTACGGACATTGGCCACAACTGAGAATTCAGATGGGAGAATCTTGCCAGGGTACATAAAAAAAAAAAAAAAAATAAAAAGCAGCACATGATTCCGTTGGCCCCCCAACCACACAAAACTTCAATATCAATTTTGGTGGAATTTGGCCTTTAAGGTGAACCTGTCGGCACTAGAAATGTTTCCTGCCCTGCCTAAGGGTAGGCGTCTGCCATTTCTATTATCAGCTAGAAGATCCTGCTCTGTGTGCCCCTCTGAACCGGTTTCACTTTGTTACTAGAGGCCAGACTCCCTGACTTCAGGAGGGAAGGCTCTACTAGGTGTTTGCCGTTGTCCTGTTGGCAAGATAACCCTTCCCTGTGTGCCCCTCTGAACTGGTTTCACTTTACTAGAGGCCAGACTCCCTGACTTTAAGAGGACAGGCTTTATTGACTTTATTAGCTAGGAAATCCTGCTCTGTGCGCCCCTCTGAACTGGTTTCACTTTAATAGAGGCCAGACCCCTTGACTTTAGAAGGGCAGGCACCTTTACCTTTATGAGCTAGAAAATTCTTCTCTGTGTGCCCCTCTGACTTGGTTTCACTTTACTAGAGGCCAGACTCCCTACTGTTAGGTAAATAACCCTTCTCTGTGTGCCCCTCTGAACTGGTTTCATTTTTATTAGAGGCCAGACTCCCTGACTTTAGGAGGACAGGCTCCATTGCCTTTATGAGCTATAAAATCCTGCTCTGTGTGCTCTTCTGAACTGGTTTCACTTTACTAGAGGCCAGACTCCCTGACTTCAGGAGGGAAGGCTCCTCTAACATTATTGGCTGGAAAATCCTGCTCTGTGTGCCCCTCTGAACTGGTTTCACTTTACTAGAGGCCAGACTCCCTGACTTCAGGAGAGAAGGCTTCTCTAACGTTGTTGGCTGGAAAAGCTTGCTCTGTGTGCCCCTCTGAACTGGTTTCACTTTACTAGAGGCCAGGCTCCTTGACTTCAGCAGAGGGATTTGTCATGACCTATTGGCTAGATTGCTCTGCTTGGTGGGCCCCTTCGAAATAGTTTTACTTGGTTACTATGACCCAGACAACTTTTTTTTAATTTCCAATATCCCTCATCAGGGGCCATTGAGATGGCAAGTGGGTGGGGGCTTAGCCTATAAACCGGCCCTCCTAATAACAAAGTCAGACCAATGTTAGAGAGGGTCTCCAAGGACCTTCTTCCAGTAAAGATACATAAAGGTTTCTTGTGCTGTTGGCTCTCGTGTAGAAATGTACCATTTGAACCTTTACAATGGCCGACAGATCCACTTAAAGTCCAAACCTCAGCATTGAAAGCCCTCCTTTTTTTGCAACATTAACGCTTCCTTATAAAATGATAGGCCACTCTTGGCTTCCTGTATCCAATGCCGGCTTCTAGGGTGGTGGCCGGTCCACTTAAGTTCGCATTTAAAGGGCCCGTTGCATGGAGGTCACCCCATCTGGAAGAGCGACTCAACAATCACAAGAAAAATTTCCACAACTGTACGAAACCTGAGATATTTGGCATTGAATTGACCATAGCTGGACCACTTCCTTCAGCCCTTTGTTCCATTTTAGCAGCCACGTTAGGCTGGGTAGAGGTCAACTATCATTCTCCGAAGTCCGAAATTTCCTGGAGCTGTCCCGGCTCCAGGAAAGAACTCCAGGCAAACAACTGAATAAATTGTACCATTGGATAGGTAGATACAGTACGGGGATAGGGTCATCCAGAGCCCAGGGTGAGGGCCCCCTTCCTAATGCATTTCTTTCTTTCGACTAGAAGGCAGTTGAATGTCCACTTTGGGCAGATGGTGTGGAAGGCAGGTATGTTGGAGCGCGGTGTGACAGCAGTAGCTGACAGGGCAGACATGAAACTGCGGCCCTGGTGGTTGCTAGCCACTGATCTGTAGCTTGCGTGTGGTGAGGGGGCGCCTGCCCCTCCTGCCCACCTCTTGTCCCATAGATATTGGATAGATAGATAGATAGATAGATAGATAGATAGTAGATGGATGGATGGATAGGTAGATGGATGGATGGATAGGTAGATGGATGGATAGGTAGATGGATGGATAGGTAGATAGGTAGATGGATGGATAGGTACATGGATGGATAGGTACATGGATGGATAGGTACATGGATGGATAGCTAGATGGGTAGGTGGGTAGCTAGATGGGTAGGTGGGTAGCTAGATGGTATGGGTAGCTAGGATGGATGGATAGGTATGGATAGGTAGATGGATGGATAGGTAGATGGATGGGTAGGTAGATAGGTAGATGGATGGATAGGTGGATGGATAGGTAGGTGGATGGATAGATAGATAGATAGATAGATAGATAGATAGATAGATAGATAGATAGATAATAGATAGATAGATAATAGATAGATAATAGATAGATAGATAGATAGATAGATAGATAGATAATAGATAGATGATAGATAGATAATAGATAGATAGATAGATAGATAGATAGATAGATAGATAGATAATAATAGATAGATAGATAGATAATAGATAGATAATAGATAGATAGGTAGATAGATAGATAATAGATAGATAGATAGATAGATAGATAGATAGATAGATAGATAGATAGATAGATAATAGATAGATAGATAGATAGATAGATGATAGATAATAGATAATAGATAGATAATCAATAGATAGATAGATCGATCATAAGATACCAAATTTGCACTTATCTGGAGAAGGTTGATTATCTGTCTCATGTAGACTACATACAATAAATTAAATGTATTTAATGGCTGCATCAGGTTTCCTTTAAACATTTCGGTCCAGTTTACAAATGGCCTCGTACCATCCTGGCATGGTAGGGGTTAATAAATAAAACAGTCCATTTTTTTTTTTTTTTGACGACCAGGGAGGAAATAAAAAATATTCCCTTTTAAAAGTGTCCCCAAGCTTCTCCTTCTAAAAATCTTGTGGCCCTCTCAATCACACGGTGTTCAAGAAAGCCTTTTTTGATGTGGACCTATGTACAGGTTATCCTTACCATAAATATTTACATTTAAAGAGATACATACATTGCATCTTGTAATAAAAAATAGATTTGCAAAAAGAAAAAAAAAAAAAAAGAAAAAAAAATTGCAGTACGTAAAAGAGCCACAGTGGGGCGCTGTTTCTCTGCAACAACTTCAAGGCATTCGACTTTAGCAATACCCAAGTATCGCTTGTTTCGTTTTTTGTTTTTTTTGACGTTATTAGTGCTGATTTCCGAGACGCTGCTTTACGGCAGAAAAGTTTTAATACTATATTTTGCATTAACTAGAAATCTTGGTGCTTGTTGTGGGTTTTTAACGGATGTCCCATCGCCGCTCAATTCCTAATTCTGCTATTTTTGGAATACAAATTGTGACTTTATCCCCCCTAGAAAGTGTTCATTTCCCTTGACATGTTCTCTTTTTCTCGTTTGTGTTTTCCAATGAGCGTTCCTCAAAACAAAACGTTCCTCAGCTCAAAACGTCAACAGGAAGACAAAGACACCATACTGGTCAAGATGTCCAAAAAACTTGACTCTTCTTCAACCGCTTGGGAAGGTAAAATTGAGGTCACACGTGAGTTTGCATGCGTTGCTGTGCCGGTCTGCCGTAGTCACAGTGCGTGGAGAGGGAGGCGTAGGAGAGCCGTGTGGTTCCCGATTCCAGGGTTTCGAATCGGTCTGGACGGACGTAACTGCAGAACGCTCTGGCGTAAGGTGCTGGGTGGGTACTGGGACCTGTAGATATGCTGCATGGACCTTGAGGTATATGGATCCGTTCACTTCCTTGGCGTGGGGTGGTGGTGGCATATCGGTGAGCATAGTCATACAGTTTTGGAGCTCCGGGTAAAGATGGAGTTGGGCAGAGCGGGCTGAGGCTTGTGGTTGCAGAATATAGAGGTCGTGGAGGTGAGGAAAACTCTGGATAGGCAACTGTGGTTGGGCGGGAGTCATCATGGGCTCGGACTTTGTAGTAGCCATTTGTTGGGTCCTAAAGATAAAAATACGGGTTAAAGTTGTACCAAAGAGTTGAGTTACATTATTAAGTTGGGGCTCCACTGGCAGTAACAACATCTACCCTCTGTAGGATCTGTGTAGCCTACTGTAGGCCAAGCTCAAGGGTCCTAGTATACAGATCAGTAGACCTCCAATGCAATGGCAAATTATTATTGATTTGTTGCCTCAGGTTTGATACCTAATCTGTGTTGCTTCTCCCAACATAATAAAATGAACATGTCTAAATCAACCTTCCTCTTCCACAGTATCAATGTGAGCATGTGGGTAGGGCCACTTAATAGCATCATGGGCCCCTGGGCAAAGTAATGTACTGGGGCCTCTACCAGTCTGCATCAGCTGTCCTCATCACAGTGCCTCCTTATATCAGGTTCCCCCATCACAGTACCCATATATCAGGTGTGCCCATTCCAGTGTCCCCTTAGATCAAGTGCCCTCATCACGATCTCCCCATACATCAGATTCCCGCATCACAGTGCCCCCAAACATCAGGCACCCCCATCACAGTGCCCCAAACATCAGGCACCCCCATCACAGTGCCCCCATAAATCAGGTTTCCCCATGACCGTGTTCCCAAACATCAGGGTCCCACATTACAGTGCCCCCATATATCAGGTTCTCCCATGACAGCGTTCCCATACATCAGGTTTCCCCATCACAGTGCTTCCATACATTAGGTTCCCCCATGACAGTGTCACCAAACATCAGGTTCCCCCATACATCAGGTACACCCATCACACTGTCCCCATACAACAGTTTCTCTCATCACAGTGCCCCCATACATCAGGTTCCCCCATCACAGTGCCCCCATACAACAGGTTTCCCTCATCACAGTGCCCCCCAGGTTACATCAGTTCCCCTCATCACAGTGCCCCCATACATCAGGTTCCCTCATCACAGTGCACCCATACATCAGGTTCCCCTCATCACAGTACCCCCCATACATCAAGTTCCCCCCTCATCACAGTGCTCCCATACATCAGGTTCCCCCATCAAAGTCCCCCATACATCAGTTCCCCCATCACAGTACTCCCATACATCAGGTTCCCCCATCATAGTGCCCCCATGCAACAGTTTCCCTTATCACAGTTCCCCCATACATCAGGTTCCCCCACCACAGTGCCCCCAAACATCAGTTCCTCCCTCATCACAGTGCCCCCAAACATCAGGTTCCCCCATCACAGTGCCCCCATACATCAGGTCCCCTCATCACAGTGCCCCCATACAACAGTTTCCCTCATCACAGTGCCCCCATACAACAGTTTCCCTCATCACAGTGCCCCCATACAACAGTTTCCCTCATCACAGTGCCCCCATACAACAGTTTCCCTCATCACAGTGCCCCCATACATCAGGTTCCCCCATCACAGTGCCCCCAAACATCAGTTTCCCTCATCACAGTGCCCCCATACAACAGTTTCCCTCATCACAGTGCCCCCATACAACAGGTTCCTCCATGACAGTGTCCCCAGATATCAGGTACCCCCCCATCACAGTGCCCCCATACAACAGTTTCCCTCATCACAGTGCCTCCCTACATCAGGTTCTCCCATCACAGTGCCCCCATACATCAGGTTCCCCCATCACAGTGCCCTATATAACAGTTTCTCCCATCACAGTGCCCCCATACATCAGGCTCTCCCATCACAATGCCCCCATACATCAGTTTCCCCCATCACAGTGTCCCTTACATCAGAGTTGTGCCCCCCGTTCCCCCTTGTACTCACAGATCACAAATGCTGTTCCCACCTGCAATGAAAGCAGTTCCTTCTTTCTCTCCCACGCTGAGACTGAGGTGAGTTCTCAGTCTCAGCGCCGGCTCTTTTACGCCCCCCTGCAAGTAGTAGGGGAAAGCTAAATTCTCTATCCATCAAAAGCCAGCCACTGCTCCTTCTGACAGGACTAACACTGCAGTTACTCCTTTCAAAGAGGAGAGGCAGGAGTGGCCAAATCGCTAGTGCACCCTCCCCCCAACACAATACCCAGCCCCACCTTATCCTGGCCCTGATCATGGGCCCTCCATGCATCTGGGGCCCCTGGCCAGTGCCATTTATTAGGATGGCATGGCATCCTCTAACGTCTATGATCAGCTTGGGACCCTCCAACATTAGACTGGTAATATCAAGTACATAACCCTAGATACAGTTACAACTTTGGTACATGAATGGAACTTACCTGAGAGTCATCGGGGATGTCACTGTGTTCCGTCTGTGACGTTCTTTGAGATTCTGTATCGGTGTGCTAACAGAAAAAAAAGTAACAATTTGGTTAATTCGGTTTTATCAAAAACTTGGGATTAGGCTTCTTGTCGTGTCATAAAATCTGCCCTGAACCTAATGAGTAGACATGCGTGTTTTGTATCGATTCGTTTTTTGGACGGAAATTTCGGGCTCGTGGGGAAATAATTAAACTTTGGAATTCGTTCCATCATCTGGATTGGGATAATAAATGGATCCAAATGGATGCACACGACGCCAGTTGATATTGTCCAATCAGTTCATGCCATTTCTCTTGGTGGGTTGGACTAGCGTCTGAAAATATCGAATCTGTCTGATTGGAATCCATCCGCATTGATAATATATAGAATATATAGCAAATCTGCCGGAAGAACTGCAAAATTTTTCAAATCCACCCGGACCAACGAATATATAATACAAATGTCAAAGATACAAAACGAGTTCTGAAAACGAACCAGTTCAACATAACAAATATGACAAAACAAGAATGAATGCATCTGAAACAAAATGAAAATTTCCGGCATGCATCCAGGGCCATGGATAAGGGTGTACCACCTGTACTGGGACCAGGCCAGTAGGGGGGCCGATCAGATGGGTGATCAGCACAGTGTGGGGGGAAATTACTGGAACTAATTCCCTGTATGGCTCTCTCTGCAGCAGCTGAAAGTTGGCTTCTTCTCCTCTCCCTCCTACCGGATTTCAGCTGTTGCAGAGAGAGCCATACAGGGGATCTGTCCCAGTAATTGCCTCCCCCCCCCCACCACACCCATCATCCTCCCGGTGGACCATACATTTCCCTCTGCTGCCTAGACCCCACTGTATGCCCCCAGTGCCGCCAGCTTCCCTCCTCTCCTTCCCCCTTGAAGCTGCAAGCACACAATAGGATCCTTCAGAATGGAAAGCGGATGAAGGGTCCGGTAAATATGTCAGATTTACCAGCCCCTTCCTTTTCTGATTGAACATAATGATTGGTAATGATCACTCACTGTGTTCATTTATAACTGAAGCATAGTAAACTGTATTTATTTGGGGGAGGGGAGGGGGAGGCTGTCTAGGTTGGCTTTATGGAGCTCTGTGGATTCTAACAGCAAGCCTGCATGCACATGTCTACAAATGATGACCATGTGCTTGGAAACAAATGTCCCTCAGCACCTACGATGCAATCATGAAGTCCTGCATTAACAATGAAGAACAATGAGAGATGAATGATGATCCCAGTTTGGCTATCCAAAATTTATCCCAGTTTTAGTCTTCTTGAAATGATCTTTGATGACATCTCATTGAATGTGATAATATCACCAATGATCAAGGAACACACAAATATCCAATGTTCTTCACGAAGTCATTGGCGATGACTTTGATGGCCAAAGATAATGTTCTCCTATTGGTCTACCCAAGAAATCTTGGGTAGACCAATATCACCAATGATCAATGAGTACCCAAATATCCAATGTTCTTCACGAAGTCATTGGAGATGACTTTGATGGGCAAAGATAATGTTCTCCTATTGGTCTACTAAAAAAATCTAGACTTTAACAACTGATACCATCAAAAATATCTAAAAAAGAGATTGAATATGATAATATCACCAGTGATCAAGGAGCACACAAATACCCAATGTTCTTGAAATAGTCATTGGCGATGACTTTGATGGTTAAAGATAATGTTCTCCTATTGGTCTACAATAGAAATCTAGACTTTAACAACTGATACCATCAAAATATCTAAAACAGAGATTGAATATGATAATATCACCAATGATCAATGAGCGCACAAATATCCAATGTTCTTCACAAAGTCATTGGCGATGGCTTTGATGGCCAAAGATAATGTTCTCCTATTGGTCTGCTATAGAAATCTAGACTTTAACAACTGATACCATCAAAATATCTAAAACAGAGATTGAATATGATAATATCACCAATGATCAATGAGCACCCAAATATCCAATGTTCTTCATAAAGTCATTGGCGATGGCTTTGATGGCCAAAGATAATGTTCTCCTATTGGTCTACCCAAGAAATCTTGAGTAGACCCTTGGGCGGACTGACAACTCATGGGGCCCCTGGGCAATAGGGGATCATGGGGCCCCTGTGTCCTAGCCCAAACTCAAAAAAGACTATGAAAAAGGTACCAGGGGCATCTCATGGTGCCCCCTACTGACCCCGGGCCCTCGGGCAGTGCCGAGTTTCCAAATGGTCAGTCCGCCCCTGAGTAGACCAATATCACCAATGATCAATGAGTACCCAAATACCCAATGTTCTTCACAAAGTCATTGGTTAAGACTTTGATGGCCAAAGATAATGTTCTCCTATTAATCTACCAAAGAAATCTAGACTGTAACAACTGATACCATCAAAAATATCTAAAAAAAGAGACAGAATATGATAATATCACCAATAATCAAGGAACACACAAATACCCAATGTTCTTCACAAAGTCATTGGCGATGACTTTGATGGCCAAAGATAATGTTCTTCTATTGGTCTACTAAAAAAATCTAGACTTTAACAACTGATACCATCAAAAATATCTAAAAGAGATTGCTCTTTGATCATTGGTGATATTATCATATCCAATCTCTTTTTTAGATATTTTTGATGGTATCAATTGTTAAAGTCTACATTTCTTGGGTAGACCAGTAGGAGAGCATTATCTTTGGCCATCAAAGTCATCGCCAATGACTTCGTGAACAACATTGGATATTTGTGTGCTCATTGATCATTGGTGATATTATCATATTCACACAAATATCCAATGTTGTTCACGAAGTCATTGGCGATGACTTTGATGGCCAAAGATAATGCTCTCCTACTGGTCTACCCAAGAAATCTAGACTTTAACAATTGATACCATCAAAAATATCTAAAAAAGAGATTGAATATGATAATATCACCAATGATCAAAGAGCAATCTCTTTTAGATATTTTTGATGGTATCAGTTGTTAAAGTCTAGATTTTTTGGGTAGACCAATAGGAGAACATTATCTTTGGCCATCAAAGTCATCGCCAATGACTTTGTGGAGAACATTGGGTATTTGTGCGCTCATTGATCATTGGTGATATTATCATATTCACACAAATATCCAATGTTGTTCACGAAGTCATTGGCGATGACTTTGATGGCCAAAGATAATGCTCTCCTATTGGTCTACCCAAGAAATCTAGACTTTAACAATTGATACCATCAAAAATATCTAAAAAAGAGATTGGATATGATAATATCATCAATGATCAAAGAGCAATCTCTTTTAGATATTTTTGATGGTATCAGTTGTTAAAGTCTAGATTTCTTGGGTAGACCAATAGGAGAACATTATCTTTGGCCATCAAAGTCATCGCCAATGATTTTGTGAACAACATTGGATATTTGTGTGAATATGATAATATCACCAATGATCAATGAGCACCCAAATATCCAATGTTCTTCAAAAAAGTCATTGGTAATGACTTTGATGGCCAAAGATAATGTTCTCCTATTGGTCTACTAAAGAAATCTAGACTTTAACAACGGATACCATCAAAAATATCTAAAAAAGAGATTGAATATGATAAACATCACCAATGATCAATGAGCGCACAAATATCCAATGTTCTTCACGAAGTCATTGGCGATGACTTTGATGGACAAAAGATAATGTTCTCCTATTGGTCTACCCAAGAAATCTTGGGTAGACCAATATCACCAATGATCAATGAGTACCCAAATATCCAATGTTCTTTACGAAGTCATTGGTGATGACTTTGATGGCCAAAGATAATGTTCTCCTATTGGTCTACTAAAGAAATCTAGACTTTAACAACTGATACCATGAAAAATATCTAAAAAAGAGATTGAATATGATAATATCACCAGTGATCAATGAACGCACAAATATCCAATGTTCTTCACAAAGTCATTGGCGATGACTTTGATGGACAAAAGATAAAGTCTAGATTTCTTTAGTAGACCAATAGGAGAACATTAACAACTGATACCATCAAAAATATCTAAAAAAGAGATTTTTTAGATATATATCGGTGATAAATTGGTGACAATTGGTGATATTAATATCACCAATGATCAATGAGCACCCAAATATCCAATGTTCTTCACGAAGTCATTGGCGATGACTTTGATGGACAAAAGATAAAGTCTAGATTTCTTTAATAGACTAATAGGAGAACATTAACAACTGATACCATCAAAAATATCTAAAAAAGGGATTGAAATTTATCTTCTGTCTTGACATTTAGATACTCACCAATGGTTCTTTGAGGTCTTCTTCAGAGTCGCTTGGGTGTCTATCGCTATGTTCACTACCCGAAACCTCGACTGCTAGAATTTGTGTGTCCTTTACCTCTGTGGAGGACAAAACAAAAGAGGCATTGGAGCGGGCAGAGGAGGAAAAATCAGCGACCGTGCAAGTAAGAGATCTATGAAACCCGATATCTTGATGAAATGGTAGATCATGAGAAATAGAAAACTGACGACAGGACAGAGGACATTAAAGAGCTTAGCTGAAGATGTGAGAAACAGGGAGACAAACAAACCTCTTAAAAAGTTATCAACGCGGAGCTTCAGCACAAATGATAATATAACACGGGAGAGCCATGTCAGAAATAGGCTTTGGAGTGAGATTTAAACTTCAAAGATAGGCAGAAAGTCTTGAAGAAACTTAAGACACGTCAGTGAAAGATGGAGATGACATTTGAAGAGGTGATCCAAGCAATTTTAGGTCTTGGGGAGCACCACTTCAAAAATGTAGACAAGTAGAGTCTTGAAAAAACAAAAAAAAACAACAAAAGTAGAGATGATCGGAACACTTAACATAACTCTTATAAGAGACAACAGAAGAGGCAGGCCGGGACAAGGGGTAGGTAGGAGGGGTGGCTGCCCTGGGCACTGTGGTATCATGTGAGGTGAGGGGGGGGGGGGAACCACAAGAGATTGGGGGGGGAGGGGATTTGTGTTGAGAAGGGGGATATGGAGGATGGCAGGGGGTAAGAATTGATCTAAGAGGAGAAAATTGGGGAGGTGTGCTAGGATTGGTGATTTGAGGGGATTTGTGTCGGGAGGGGAGATGGTGGAAGAAGATTTTGGGCTGGGGGGGGGGGGCTTTACTAGAAAAATAATATGGTGTGTGCAGGGGCGGACTGACCATTTGGGCGCTCGGGCACTGCACAATGGGTCAGTAGGGGGCCCCATGAGATGCCCCTGGTACCTTTCATAGGCTTTTGTGGGTGTGGTTTGAGTGTGGGTGAGGACACAGGGGCCCCATGATCCCTGATTGCCTGGGGGCTCCATACATTGTCAGTCTGCCCCACAGGGAAATTTATGGGGGGGGGGGGATGGGAGGGCAAAAATTTGGAATCGGATGAGGGGATTTCTGGCAGGGAAATGTATGCTTAGGGGGTAAGCCATGTAGATCAATGCAATTCTTTTTTTTTTTTTTGGGGGGGGGGGGGGTTTGCAGGACATATTAATGCTCATAAATCTGGGAGATTGGTGGAGGGGAATTTATACTGGAACGGGGGATTTGGGAGTGGGGGGGGGGGGGGGGGACATTTGTGCTTGAGCGGGAAAATTGTCTTTTTTTTTTTGGGGGTGGAAATTTGTGCGGCGGGCCTATGGGGGAGAAGAGGATTGGGCTTGGGATGGGGGGGACAATTTTTTGGGTTTTTTTAAACCGGGGGTTTTAAGGATTTAAACCCTTGGGGGCCCCCGGCTTTGGGGGGGCAATGAAAGATAAGTAGACAGAAAAAGGGGGGAAAATTGGGGCCCAAAAAAAAGAGGACAAAAGAAAAAAACAATTGTTTTCCTTTCCGTTTGGGCGCCGGGGGGGAAACAAAAGGGGCGGGGGAAAGGGGGTGGGGCACCAGTACGAAAAAGGCAAGGGGGGGGTTTCCCCCCAAAACCCCGAGCCCTAAGCCGGGGGGCCCTTTGGGGGGGAAAAAAGGGGCTGGAAGGGGAAGCGCCGGGGGCCCGGTTTTGGGATTGTTCCATTTTATGGGGGGAAAATTTTTCAATGGGCCCCAAAATTGGGGGGGAAGGGGGGGTGTTTGGCTGGGGGCCCCTCAAGCTCTTTTGGGAAATTTTTAAGGGGGGCTTTTACCTTTTTCCCCCTTTTCCCGGGGGGGGATAATCAGGGGAAAAACCTGCCGGGAAAAAATTTTTGGCCCGGTTTTGGGAGTTTTTTTTCCTTTTGGGGGGTATAATTTTGAAGGTCCCGGGTTCCCTTCCCAAAAATGAGGAAAAAAAGGACAGCGTTTGTTTTTTGGGCAAATGTGTCTTTTCCCCCGAAAAAAGCGCCCCCAAAAGTTTTCCTTCGTTAGACTTTTGTTTGTCCCAAATCCAGACCTAAGGGGGGAAAAAAGAAAAAAAATTTCGGGAAGGAAAAAAAAATTGGTTCCCGAAAACGGTTTCGGGGGACGTGTTTTTTGTTTTTTTTTTATTGGGTTTTCCCCTTTTTAATCATCGAGTTTTTTATTTTTTAGCAGAAGGGGGGGTTTTGAAATGTCAAAATTTTCTTTGGGGGGGGAAAAAAATGTTAAAATGCAAAAGGGAAAACAGAATTTTAAAAAATACTTTAAAAAATAGGAAAAAAAATTAAAAGGGCCCAAAATTTTTTAGGAATTTTTTTTTTTCTTTTTAGAAAAAAGGAGAAAATTTTTAAAAACCTTTTAGGGGCCCCCCTTTCCCCCGGGGCTGCTTTGGAAAACCTTTCCATCGGTTTTTTTTGGGGTTTTTTTCCCTCTGTGCCCGGGGACTTTTCCCCTCTGGGGCCCAAAAGGGCCTTTCCCCCTGATGTTGGGGTTTCCCTTTTTTTACCCTTCACAGGGCCCTTTTTTAAGGGCCCCCCTTTTGCAAAGCTATGGGGTGATTAATTGGGGGGCCCTTTCGGGTGGGTAAAAGCGGGGATGGGCAAAATTAAAAAAAAACATTTCCCTTTTTAATGGGTGTGGGGCCGGGGCGGACTGGGCAAAAAAAACAATTTTTGGGGCCCCCCGGGGAAATAGGGGATCATGGGGGCCCCCGGGGCCCTTGGCCCCAAAAAATCAAAAAAAAAACCCTTTTGGGGGAAAAGGTTAAACCCGGGGGGAAATTTAAAGGGGGGCCCCCTTTTTCTGGGGAAACCCGGGGGTTTTCCAAAATTTTGGGCAGTTTCCCCCCCTGGTGCTTGGGCTCAAGTTTAAAGCAACCCTAAAAAAAAAAAAAAAAAGCCCGGGGTTTTTTTTGGGATAATTTTTCAACGCCCCCTTTGGTTTTCTTTTTGGGTTTCCGTTTTGACCCCCCAAAAAAAGAAGTTTTTCCCAAAAAATTTCAAAAGGGGGAAGTTGGAAGGGGAAAGGGCCCACGGGTTTTTTGGGGTCACTTTCCCTTTAGAAAAAAAACCTTCACCGGGGGAAAAAAGGGGGGGGTCCCGTCCCTAAGTTCTTTCAAAAAAGGCCCCCCCTTTCCCCCCCCTTTTTCCCCCCCTTTCCCGTGGGGCTGAAAACCCCTAGGGGGGGCCCCCGGGTTTTTCAAGTGGGAAATTTTTTCGACCTGATTGTTCCCAAACCCCTGGGGCCCCGTTTTAAAAGCCCGGGGGGTTTTTTATTTTTGGGCACCCCTTTTTTATACGTTTCCAAAGGGCCCGTTTTCCAAATTGGGGGCCTCCAAATTTAAATTTTTGAGCCATTTTTCCCCCCTTTCACCTTTCCAAATTTTTTAAAAAAAGGGGCCCCCCGGGTTTGGTTGGGGGAGTGCAAGGGGGGGGTTGCTGTTTTAAAAAATTGCCCACACCAAAAATTTGGGGTTGTGCGCGCTCCCTGGGAGTGGGGGGGCCCGGGGGGACCATGATTTCCGGAAAAGGGAAAAAAAAGGGAGGGAACCAAAAGATCGGTTTTTTTGGGGGCCTCTGTGTGGGGGGTTTCCCGGGTCATGTGGGTCAAATGATTGGGGGCCCAAAACAGTGAAACACCAAAGGGAAAGGGGGGTAAGCAAGAAAGGGCCCCTTTTTTGACACATTGGTTACTATTGGGTGAAATCTGTGGGAAAAGGGTTTCCCAGGGATCCCTTTGGGACAGGGGGGTATTTCCCCCAAAAAAAGCCTTTTACCCCTGTGGAAAAAAACTGTGGGGCCCAAAACCCAAACTTCCCCCCCAGTATTTTTCATTGGGGGTGCGTAAATTTAAGGGGCCAAGGGGGAAAAAGGAGAAAAGATTTTCTTTTTTAAAGGCCCTTTTTTTGGGGGGGTATAAAAAAAAAAAAAAGGGAAAAATTTTTTATTTTCCCCCCCCCAAGTAGTTTTTTCAGTGTCCCAAAATTTTTGGGGGGTTTCTATTTCTAGGGTTTTTCCCGGAAAAAAATTAAAAAAAAAACCCCCAAAAAAATTTTTTAATATTAATAAAAAAAAGTAAAAAAAAAAATTTTTAAAAAATTTTTTAATTTTTTTTGGTTTATAAAAATAAAAATTTGGGTTTTTTTTGTTTTAATAAAAAAAAAGGGAAACCAAAAAAATTTTTGGCCCCGGGGAAAATTTTTGGGGAAAGGAAAAAAATTATTTATTTTTTCAAGGGTTTTTATAAAAAAAAAAAAAAACACCCTTTTTTTAAAAATTTTTTTGGGCTTTTTTTCTTTTAAAATAGCAAAAAAATTAAAAAAAAAAAATTTCCCCGCGGGGAAAAAATTTCAGGCCCAAATAAAGTTTTAACTGTCTCAAAAAAAAAAAGCTAAAAACATTCAATGGGTCCAGTGTTGCATGGGGGGGGGCCCGGGGGCCCAAATTGGGGCCCTTTTTAAAAATGTTTAATTTGGGCTTTTAAAAACTTAAAAAAATTTGGGTTTGGGGAAAGGGGGGGGGGGGGGGGGGGGGGGGGGGGGAGTGTCCGGCCCGGAAAAGGGGGTTTAAAAACGGGCCGGGGTGGAAGGGGGGTGAAAGGGGGCCGGGGGGCTGGAGGGGGGGTGAAAAAGGGGCCCGGGGGTGGAAAAAAGGGGGGGGGGGGGAAAAAAATTTTCCAGGGGGCTGGAAGGGGGGGGGGGGGAAAAGTGGTCCGGGGGCTGGAAGGGGGGGGGGGGGGAAAAATTTTAAAGGGGCTGGAAGGGGGGGGGGGGGGGGGGGAAAAAATTTTCCAGTGGGGGGGGGGGGGGGGGGGAAAAAGTGGGCAGACTGGAAGGGGGGGGGGGGAAAAAGGGGGCCAAGGGGGGCTGGGGGAAAGGGGGGGGGGGGGAAAGTGTCCGGGAAATTGGGGGAAAGGGGGGGGGGAAAAAGTGTCCGGGGGCTGGGGAAAGGGGGGGGGGGGGGGGGGGAAAGGGTTCCCCGGGCTGGAAGGGGGGGGGGGGAAAAAAATTTTTCCGGGGGGCTGGGAAGGGGGGGGGGGGGGGAAAAAAAATGGGGCCGGAATTGGGGGGGGGGGGGGGGGGGGAAAA